TTAATTTGTTTTTGGGGGGGGGGGGGGTTGTGTTTTTTTAAAAAAAATAGAAAATTGGATTGTTGTAAAAGAATGAAAAGTTTTCGATTTATGCATAATATTATTTTATTGAAGATTGTATGGTTGAAAATATCAGAGAAAAAAATTTAATTTAATTTGATTAGATGTAATGGGGGTTAAACGGGGGCTAAGCACTTTGTAAAAAATAACGAGTTGTTATAACCATTGTTAATTACCTACAAACTCAAGTTTTGCCACATGTACACAGGGATTGACACTTTGGTGTGCACTCCCGTCACATGAGGGGGGGATACATGATTTTTTTATTGGGTATGCCCCCCATATGAGGAGAGTGCAAATCGGAATGTCAATCTCGATGTACAAATAGCATTTTTCTAAAAACTCTTCTATATCAATGTAAAAAATGAATGGACCATTGTAATCCTTGTGTTTATAAGCTAATATATCAAATACCAATGTCGATTCATATTCCTCACCTAAACTAATATTCATTCGCTGCTCAGAATTGAGAGGTGCGAAACTCTTAACTTGTCAATTGATGTGCTAGTATAAGATCATCCTTCTCTAGGGCCGGAAGGAGCTAGGCTGCCCAATATGTTGTTAAAGAATTCTTTTTTTTCCCCTATGTATCAATATAAATTTCCTTTTTGTCCTCCCGGTCCTTCTGCTGCTACTTGCAGCCTCAAACCTCTTTACACGTGACCCAATGACAATGTGACACTAGTACCGCAAAATATTTTCCTATGCCATTTTTCTTCCTTAATTCGAGTATGAAGCTACGAAGTATGACACTTCCATGTAACATATTCAAATCTGTACAAGGTCTTTTATGTTTTTAGGTACACAAACAGTACCATTGATGCACCGAGTGCCAATGACCTTATATACAGCTTCAGTCAAATGATAGCCATCCCAGAAATAGTGTTTTTCGGGGTCCTTGCACGGCGCCAGCCCTGGAATGCAGGCTGATGTCCCATTAGCCCATGTAATACAGCATGGATTACTCGAGTCTTCTAAACCTGAAGTAATAACTTAAAAATCATCGATCTAATAATGGTTAACGCAATTTTCTTTGTGATTGAATTAGAATTTGTTACCATAATTGGATGGATTTATGATAGCATCATAGCTAAGCATATGACCCTGACCAAGTATAAATTCTGAGTCTTTCAAGGTTGATGTCAAATTCTTAAGCATGGTGGCTAGCTCATCGTTAAAGATTACTGCAAGCTGGTTAACATCCTCGACGCATTGTCCACTGTGACTAAATTGCCTTGTAACTGACGGGATGCACCCAATGTGTCCAATTTCAAACATTATAACTTTTCTTGCTCCTAATTTGTATAGTCTCTGCACTCAAAACAAATAGATAAAAGTCATTACTTGCATCATTGTCAGTTTATCACTCTATCTTATGTTTGTTAAGGAAAAATTACCTGAAATTGTAGGGATAGGTTCCCGATCAGAAGTCTAGCGAAAGATAGAGGATCATAATGTTTACTTGTGTCATATAATCCTGGATCAAGATAGTTGTTGATGTAGTCATTGCTGCCGATAGCAATCACAAACAATGATTTTGACAAATAATCTGAAACCTCGGACGAGGTTTTGTAGTGCTTGGGCAATTCTGGTTTAATTGTATTGTTGAATGAGTCAATCTGCTCAGCAAAATTCAAGCATTTACCCTGCAACAACCCGATAAATTGAATGATCTACGAAACTAAATTCTGCACAATTATTTGCGCAAGTCATGAAGTAGATCAAGGGTTTATTTGGCATGACTTTTGAAATGTCAAAGTCAAAAACTGCCTCTGAAATTAAGAAACTACTTTTGAACATGTATGAATAACATTTTGAAAATATTGTGTTATTACTTTTAGAGAAGGCAGATTTAAACTAACTTTATTAAAGAACTATTTTTCAAGAAGCAAAAGTAGAAACTATGCTAAACGAACCCTAGGTACACAGGCAAGGCAAGGCAACTTTTGCATATCCAAAAAATGAAGCGAGAACTAGAATAAAAGTCGCAACATGAATATGTGAAAAATTATGGCTAACGCGATAACGAAAGCCTTTTTAGAAGATTGATTCGATGATTAATGTGAAAAGGCCAAAAAATACCAAGTAATTTCCAGTCTCAGGAAGAATGCCACATGATGCAGACGCAAAATTCAACCCTGTCAACTTTGGTGATGATCTCATACTCAAATATGGTGGTGAAAATGGCAGTCCAAGAAACTCAGCTACAAAAAATAAAGAAATATCATTTAAAATACATACTAATTCAAATTAATAATAATTAAAAAAATTAAAATAGGCATAGCTTGAAGAATGCTACCAATGAAATCAGGAATAGTTTTTCCATCGGTAAATCTTCCGGTGGCGCCTCCGTCAAAATTCATGCCATAGGGCGAAAAATCAGCCTTGGCTAGAGTTGGTAAAAGATTATTATTTCCATTGTCAAACAAAGAGTCACCAAAAACGTACAATGCAGGAACAGCAGGAAAAGGATCGGAATTCACTGAAGAAATGTACAAGAAGAACATAATCAGAATCAGAATCATAAATTTCTGCATTTTCGTTTTCTTTTCTGTGAAAAAGAAGAAACATAAATGGTGTGAAAATAGCAGCTTCTTTTAAAGACAGAAAGGCACGAGAAAAATCATCCAGGATAAAGTTATACGTGAATTACAAGTAACAGAAATTAAAATACAAAGATTATAATCTTTGACGTAATGAAGGGAATGATTATGCAATCTTTTGTGCAGATGGTAACTGCCATTCTTGTATTGTAAGCTCTCCGCTGACCACCATGAAGAACAAATCTGTCGGTTGTATCACAGTTCTTTTCACGCTTTTGGGACTAAATAGCATATATTTTTGTTTGGTTAAACTGGTAAGCATTTAGACTACACCTCTACATGATAAATTAGAGTCTGAAAAGCTTTCGACCAATTTGATCGATTTAAAACTCACGAAGTACTGTAATATGAATATATTCGGACGTGCTACATAAGGCATGACATGAAAGGGTGTATATATATATAAGGATTTCAGTTAATCTTGATTTTTAAGGGTGTATATATATATAAGGCTGTATATATATATATATATATATATAAGGATTTAAGTTAAGAAACTATCGAATTCTAAAAGTTCAAGTTAATCAAGCAGTGACTTTGTTGGTTGGTATTCTTAAACGAACCATCATCTTAAAGACAAATGCACACTACATGTCACATCTCGACTTACAAGGCAGACCAACGTGGCAGCAAGTTAAGTGGAGTAAAGCAAGAGACATTTAAGGTCAACTCTGTGCTTTGGCATCGCCTATTCCACGTGTACCCATCGAGATGATTAGCCTATGCATTTAGACACCTTGTTCGGAATGTTATTATCCAAGGTGAGGTAACACCATTTTGTTACAGTACAATTCCTAAGCGAATGGCGTCTTCTATAATGGGCCTCTGCCAAGTCACATTGTAACTGCATGAATGATTGATGATGTGAGAGCTCTGCTAGCTCTACAACAATAGCTCCTAGTTAGATCAATTTCTAGCTTATGTTCAGGCTCAGGTAGCCATGTGCCTACATCGACTATAGATTGACACGATTGAACTTGAGTGGAATGCACGCAATCATTGGATTTCTCCTGAGTTACGATCTCGTATTGTCAAATATAGTGTTCAAGTATACATGAAACATACATGTGAACGAAAGAGTAACTAAGATCTATTGAGAGCTGAATCGGCCAAAGTTGGAGGTCAACCACTATTAAAATTACAAATAACTTGATTAAAAATATAAAAATTAACTTATATAAAATTGTAAACGTGTTTGTTAATAAGTTGACTTTTTAAGATAATCCCAATACTCAATAATCCGTAACTGATTCGACATGAGTTCCCATCTTTGTCAAGATGCATGATTCAACTCTTTCGTCATTTGTTTTACTAATTGGCATGGCCGTTAGCGGTTGTAGAATACGTGAATCCAGCCAAATCATTTCTATGACAAATATATGAAAAAGATAAAAATCGATACACATAACACATTTCTAAAGAAATTGGAGAGTCCGTTGCGGTTCTTACCATTAAAAATATTTTCGTATCTATTTTGATTTGTGTGAATGCACGTTTTAGTCGGATAATATGGAACATGTATTATTCGGAATAGGCGCATCATTATTGGGCGTTATTTTTGGAATTCACACTGTAATCTGCTACCTTTGATTTTACATCTTAGTACAGAAATTAATAAAAAAGATCACTAAAATATGATGCCAAAAATCTGTAACTAAAATATGCAAAATGAAAAATCGAAAAAGTAAAATTGTAATATGAAATGTACGACTCTTATATAATGAATTTGGTGTAGAATTTTATAAATAGATAAGCTATCATGTGGTTGTTGTAATAAAAAAGTCTTTACCTTGTTAGCATAAAAATGTATGGAATTGGAAATTAATACTATCTTTGAATGATCTATCCTTTGTTTGGTAAGGATTAAAATTATATTTTTAGCAAATTTTGATAAAAGTTTTTGAAAGTTGTGAGACTCATGGAATATGTGGTTAATATTGATTGTTTGACTTTGACTTTGACTTGGATTAAAATTTTGATTTAAATCAATACCAAACAAGAGCCTAATATGTCTGGAAGCATAATTCAAGTGATATTATCACGAGGGAGAGTAAATACACTTTGTACTATTTTTCTCTTGACCAAGGTTTTGTTTTCTTGAATTTTCTTAACAAGGTTTTTAATAAGACAACTTTGATAGTGTACTTAAATGAATAAATGTACTATTTTTCCTTCATTAGAATTTTTTTCACTGGGCTTTTTCTAATAAGATTTTAACAAGGCATATTCTTTGTAGGGAAAATTACATAAATCCAAGGATTTAAACATCACAATTCAAACATCAGGGCTAGAGTTTCATTATGCAACAATCAGGTATTGATTTAATAATTTAAATATTAATTTCTTCCAATTCAATTTCCCCAACCCTAATTTCATGTTTTGTTTTCTCTCTCTACCATCTCCATACTTTGCCTTCTCTCGATCATGAAACACCATCGTTGCCACCGTCAGCGACGATTCACGATGACGACGACGATGATCACGACGGAGGCGACGCTCAAAAGCATCCTCATCGGTGGCTATTCTATTGGTTTTCTCTCTCTTCTCCTCTGCTTCGCGACCACAAATAGGGTTACAATCGATCTAGGTAGGTTACAACTTACAGGCGGTTGTGGTGGATTTGACTGCTGGTGGTGCGCGCGCCTATGCGGTGGTGTTGTTGTTTGCAGTTTGGTGACGGTGGTGTTGCAAAAATGGTGGTGACGGTGGCGGTCTTCAACTATAAATTTGATTTTTGTAGTAGGTGTGGAGTAGTTTTGGGGTTTGTGTTGTTGGTGGTAAGGGTGCTGGTTGTGGGCGTGAGGTTGTGTTGGCGATGGATTTGGATGGTGTCTTGTGCGATGACGATGTCTTGTATGGTGGTGGACTCTGTACAGCGTGGATGTGGGTGCGGTGGTGGCGTTTGTGGTCGGCTTTCTTGGTCGGTGTTTTGTTGGAGATCGTGGTAGTGTGGTGAAGGACACGGTGGCAATTTTTGTTGGTGATTTAGTTTAGACGGTGATGGTGTGGTTCAGACGGCGATGGTGGTGGGTTTGGTGGTGGAATATTTGTGACCATGTACTGAGGTGGATCGAGATCGGTCTTTGGTGTCTGTGACCGACAATTAATCTGTAACCTTGAAATTCGATCATTTTATGACTAAAAAATAATTTGTAACCATCAAATTCAAAAATACGTGACCTGGGACCTATAATATTTTGGGTTTATGACCATATATGACCTATAGTTGTGACTCGTGACCTATAATTTTTTAGATTTGTGATCAATGACATAAATTGTGACCTATAAAATTGATGGATAAATTGTGATCTGTGACCATGAAATAATCTGTGACCTATCAAAGTTTTGATTCGTGATCTCGAAATAATTTGTGACCAATTAATTTGAAGATATGAGATAAAAAAATAAATCTGTGACCTATAAATGTGTACACGTGATCATTAATTGTATAATTGTAATTTTATTATATTTGATTAATAAATATTTTTAATTAATTAAATAAAAACCTGAGTTTTGCATTAGTTAAACTTTAAACATGATTTTTGAACAGTGCATAGTTAATACATGATTTATGAATTTTTCCCTTCTTTGTATAATTTAAGTCCATAACATAAAAGATATTTACTCTCAAAATAATGCTTTTATATGCATGAGACTCCTAAAGAGATCAACAAGAGTTATTTATTGAATCATCATGTTATTATAATCATCAAAGGTTGATAAATATCTTGTATAAAGACGGTATTATTTCAAAATTATACAAGACAACATGAGACATACTTCATTAGAAATTACAATATTAAAGATATCAATGTACAAGACAAGGGTGAATTAATACAAGAATTGAAATTTGGGAAAATAACTGTATTCTTTTTCCTTTCGTCAAGTTTTGTTTCACTGGTTTTTCTTGATAAGATTTTAATAAGATAGCATTTTATTTTTCCAAATTATTTTTACTCTTTTCCTTTCATTTGTTTGCATTTTTTCTATCGAGTTTTTTTTTTTATAAAAAAATGTTTCAATGAGATAGTTATTGTGTAAATAGTCATTCATTAGGAGTAATATAAATATAATAGTATTTATAAATGACATTTATATCCTTACAACTCTAGTTATTATGACTGTTGTATCTTTTGTAGCCTTAATTCTTTTCTATAAACTAGTGGGGTAAATGTGCGTTACACGTTAATTGGTTAAAGTTAGAAAAAGTACGTAAAATTTCAAGACATTTATTTGTAAACGTGGAAAATATTCATAAGCTGATTAAAACAAAGTCTTTTTTATAAAGAATAAATGATTGAGGTAAAAGCTAAAAGAAATAAACGAACAAACAATTGATTAGCATGTAATGAGAAGCAATATATTAAATTCAATAAGAAACAGATTGTTGTTATTGCTTGACATCCTCTTTGAAGTTCTCATTTACAACCATCCTAATGCATTTCTTGGCTTTGGCACGAAGCATGCAGTTAGACTTGTCGATAGCATTCATCAAAGAAACTTTCAAGTACGACATAACCGCATCATTCTATTTTTGGAAGAGTTTCTATAAATACATTTTAACAAACTTCGTATACAGGCAAAGCAAAATAACTAATTAAAATCTAACCAAACTGGAAACCATGCAGCGATGTGCAAAATAAAGATATTCAGACCAAATCTAATGATTATTGATCAATACAATCCAGACTCTAGATTTTTCCAAAGTCTTGTGGAAAAGTCAGTACAATAAAATTCAGCTTGAAATATTTACATTACAATAGATAAGAAGGTATCACCAAATGAAATTCAATGAAAAATGTAAGCTATAACTACCTACAAATTAATGGCAAAATAGGGAATGCAAGCGTTGATTAAAAATAGCATTAAATTCAAAAACCCGATCGATTTCAAATCTGTAAGAACCCATTAGTTATGGAATATAAAATATATA